TATTATCATCACCTATGACTAAGGATTCCCGAGGGAATCCGAAACGTTAGGACAATCAAACTCTCATAAGGGCTCGAATTCAGAGCCCGGAAACAAAAAAGATCGCCAGTTTTCTTCTACAATATTAAAATATTCATATCAAGCACCGATCCAATCGAAATACTCTCCGGAATAAAGTAGGAGAATGCACACTCAACTATGCTTTTATCAATTCAGAATATATAATTGGTTGAAAGATGCCACATCTGTCCATCAGACTGCTGCCATATTGGCATTTACGTTGGATTATTGTTTCTACTTTCAGCAAGTCGATGTTTTGGACTAAGAAGCATATGAAAACCTTCCCCTAATTTATCAGCTTCGACAATTTTCGTTTATTAAGATTATTTTCCCTGTGGCATAACGAAGAAAGTACAAAGTCAGGGTACAACTTACCTGCTACAAAACTCGCTGAAAATCCATCCCTGTGACCTGAAGCATCGGAGCCAAACTTTACGTACATTGTGTTACCCGTTGATGTTACAGTATCTGGTAGAACGTTCCCACATGACTTTATGAGTAGCGGCTCATTTTCGGAGGAACCATCGTAAATTTTTACTTAATCGTATTTGCATGATAATCCTTGCTCAAGCTGTAGAATAATAAATTAGATAAAATCAGTTATATTGACTTAGAAGAGTCAAGAAAAGTGTACTATAGCTGTTGGAAAACAAAACAATGATATTTCGAACATTAAAACAGAGTCTATTTGTTAAATGCTGATGTGATATTTTCTCTGTATTCTTCCAGCCGCAAATATATACCTGGCGCCAGGCTTTTATAACACCACCACCACCACCACTATGATTGCATCCAATAACCGGTCATTTTATATCCTGTATCCCAAACGGAATGTGGATATGAAAGTAACCCATAGGTAGACTTGGGCAAGCATCTACTTATTCCTCCTAAATTTAACCTACTTTTCATCAGGAATTTGCAAAAGATGTTGAGGCATAAGTGACCCCTTATAAAAAGTGTGCATGAAGAAAGTACTTACTACGAACGAAGTGAAACTGAGTGCGATGGTTCATCCTGCAGGGCCGTTAATCTTCCAGGAGCAGTCCTTGTTTGCCGGGTATTCATACGGATAATTGGGACTAGTAATGGTCCCGAATTCTCCGCTCACTTGGCCACCACATGTTACTGATATTTAAAGACAAAAAACAACTTTGACACTGTTATTTGAAAAAGGCCCTTTCAAGTTAATGACATTGTAATACTATACATGACTACGGATTTTTCATCAAGACCCAATTTCACAACCATTTCTGACGCATTAACGTGTTTTGTCTGATGCGGGATAATAAGAATACAAAATGTGTCATATACCACCCGATGAATTTAGCCTTAGCGACACAATTCTTCGAACAAAACTGCTGTCCCAGCAATGAACTCGAGGTTATAGGGGGAAATGTATTATATGAAATGTTATCAACCAATCATCAGAATCTGTAACAGTTTTTTTTATTTTGGTCAGCATGCGAAGATTCTAATGAATTGTCCAGGAGGACTGACAAAATTCAATGGCCGGACAGTTATGCATCGCCGAAAGAGATTGTAAAGTAATTTTCAAAGCTGAAACAGGGTAGATCTTTGTTCCCCTCTAACCAAGTTGACTTTAAGGAACTCAAATATTTTGGCCAAAGTATGTGGGCAAGGCCCAGCAGACAATCAGGAATCAGTTAACTCCACAACAGGTAGTCAGATATGCTTATAATCGGTAGCCGATTAAGTGCAGTGTGTCCTTGGCATGGCAAAACGAGCAATGAGATGTTGTCGAAAACGTACATTAAACATGCACGTCTTCTTAAATGTCTTCCTTTTATTACAACTGCACAGAATTACAAAGACGACACTTCAGTCTAGTATATACTGCTTTACAGACATCCTCCATTACTGTCCATGCATATGAGTGGCTTGTGTAATGGAACACATCAGACAATTAACCGCCTCTTAGAACCTGTTCGGTTTGGCAAAATGCCTACCCAAGGTGCATTCACGGAGAGTTGACTTACGAGGTAAGTACACATTCCGCACTTTACTGACATATATGCAAGCACAAAATTACTAGTGGCTTACAAGTAGGTTTTTCATACAAATTCACGGAAGCAGTTCAGAACTCGCATTTTTGCTTCTATCGGGAATTTAAAACAAGACTTGGTATAAGTAGATAAGCGTACACCGATCAGATACAGAGCACATTTGCCCTATATTTTGACGACCTGTCATTGTTATTTTCTAGGACATTTTACCGGTAGACAGAGACTTCTACGAAGGCCTTTTCTGCCTCGTTAGGCGTTATCAGGTGGAGATACTCAACTCCAGTTTCGCAGCGGAAATTGCCACCACACTCGAGATTCAAAACCGCGTCTCACCGGCCAGAGTCAAACGCTTTAACCATTGAGCTATCGGGCCCGACGTCTTACCGATTGTTGATCCGGACTAGAGCATAGTAGATAGGCGTACAATGATCAGATACAGAGCACACCCGCCTGGTGAATGTCTCCGTCTACCGGTAAAATGTCCCAAAAGGACTTGGTATGTTATCATGTCTGCTAGTCCCCCTAATGGATGCAAACCAATTTTCTTCTGCATAGCTTTTCGTGTGGATGGAATTGGATCTGAGTTTTCACCTTCACAAACCGCAATGACAATGACAAACTCACTTCCACAGTAATGCATAGGAAATTAAATTATTTCCCGTATTTGCATAAGTGTTTATATCGATGGTCACGTTTAGCCGGTTTGTTTAACTTTGCTATTAATTGCTTTCCGTTACAATGACATAGTTTCACTTATGTCTTATCTCTCACATATTGTTACAGTATAGGAAATATCATGATATGATGCTAAGCTATCCACAATTAATATTGCACTATTCCTGCCGCACTGTACTGTCATAATGTTTTCCTTTATTACCGCACTTGTAGTGTACCCAGTTAGAAACATGATGTTTTGTATATTCTGAACTAGAGCTGGGTACTATAAACAGTCAAATGCCTGAATGCATGGTAGATCTTCAGCGATTGCTAAATACACGTTCTTTAACACTTTAGTCTACTAAAATGTCCATATAGGTTACGACTGCATACTAGGATAAAATTTCAAACATGCGCGCACAGACCACACTGTAGCGTGCCACTTACTGGCTTTAGTAGGTATGATTACTAGAAGTAGCACTGCTGACATTGTCCGCTCTCGGACATATGGTGGACATCATCGAATTCGGCGGTCGAAATAGCATATTCACCGTCACATTTAACCCGTTTGCTTAGCTTTGCCCCTTGCTGCATCTGGTCATACTGACTAAGTCTCACTACCGTTCACAGGCACGTCCGGCCGAAGGAATTGCAACAGTGGTCGTCTAAACCTGCTATGTCTTATAGCCCAGTCGCGTTTAACTAACTTTCCTGTGCAGGACTGTTTGCAATGGCTGGAGTGCCGACAAAATATGTTGGTGACAGTGTTTGGACTTACCTTTATACTCAGCATCGAATTCAATCCCCGGTGATCCCGCCGGACGTGCGTAGGTGATATCCATATCGTATGTCTTGAACAGAAATGGCGGTGGAATATTTGGTCCACAGTAGCGACCTAAACAGTGCAGATTTACAGTTAGACGCAAGCGAACGATGTAATTAATTACTATTTTTATGATGATACATACTGATTTAATTAAAAATATAACACACGATTACTAGCTTAATCGGAAAACTGATGCAAACTAGCTAGGGCTTGGAAGTAGTGACTTATCCTGTTGAAATCGTCACACATATCCACTTTCCTATCAATCATGATATGGTTATTAATTAGTATGTTAAGAGGCTTCTGAAAATTTTTCGAAGACAACAGCATAAAACTTCCTTCAGATGAACCGGTAGCTGGTGGTCTCTAATTATCTTCTGAGGGCAAAAATCATAGAACTGCAATGAACATGATTCCCTCGCGTTTCCATGAAATCGATCACGCTTCGTGGGTACTCGATAGATATGACAAATGACTCGTTGAAATTCCCGCATATGTATAGTATTACCCAAAGACCATGCAACTTTCGTGATGAAATTTGACTAGGTACTTTAACGTATATTTAGTAACACTATTTTGATTTATTGAATTCTGTGAAAGCCTTTATTTAGGTAAATCGTCATTTTAGTTAGGTTTCTTAAGAGAAATGGCCATTAATTTTGGGGAAATTGGGAGTAGTCTCATATCGAAGTTTATTGAGAGAAATAACCATTAGTTTTGGGGAAATTGGGAGTAGGCTCATATAGAAGGAATTTCCTATTTAATTTTGGGGAAATTGGGAGCAGTCTCATATCGAAGGAATTTCCTATGCTAGACATATAGCGGGAAATTTGAAATTGGTTTCGAATCTAAGCTCTTTGCGCTCACGAGGTTTTTAGTCTCTACCTTAGTGTAGAAGACA